AAATTATCTCCTCCTGTCACGAGTGGGTTCCAGCAAGTTCCTTGTACAGCAGTTAAAAGCTGATCTGTCCAACAGCTTCCAGCTAATCTAGTGTTAAACACAAGTGAAATGCACTCTCTTTGCTCAGATTCCTTGCCAGCTGAGGTGTTAACCTTTGCTTTTCTCAGAAATACCAGGTGTGTGTTTGTAGTTTTGACATGAGGCACAAATACACAGAGGAGCTGAATTCAGGGGGGGTTGGTGACTACAGGGAAGAGAACACCAGAGGAAGAACCTGAGTCTATCACCAACACTCCTGCTCTGCTGTCTGTGGTGGTGCACTGACACCTAATTAGGAGTTAATTACAGTGGTAGAGTGAAATATGGATCCAGCTGTTGAGTGTGTTGTGTCTGATCCTCTCTGACAATCTGGGGCTTTTTGTTCCTCTCCAGTCCTTAGGACGGCCTCCACATCTGAATAAATCCAGTGACTGTTAGGTCCTGGCAGGAGCTAAAATATCCAAGGGTTAATTGTTAACTTCTCCAGTCTGTTTTGTATTTTCAAAGACAATCAGTTGCCTGGCTTAGCCAGTTTTTATGGAGTTTCAGCCCTTGTTTGCTGTTTTTCATGAAGACTTTTTCTGTGTGGCTTCCTGTGTGTCTGACAGAGCATCTGCTGCTTCTGAGACCAGGATGCATCTTTTAGAATACAGATCTTTGATTTTGTGATCTTGTGTTAAGTGTTTTAGTAGGAGGAAAATATGCCTTGGTATAACAACACCTGCTCCTGTGCTTTTATGCTATTTTATAGCCAAACTTTTTTAGTCTAGACAGATTCTTCTTTTTTTCTATTTAAAAAGATAAAATGATTTGTGAACAAACCAGGCTACTGATGTTCCTGTGTAGAAATCATTCTGAAATTCAGATTTTTCAGGTTCATTTCAGTGTGTTTCAGTTGTACCTGACGTGCTTCTTGAACTTCCAGAAGTGTTTTCACTTGACTGACAGCAGGGGGAAAAGGAATGGGCAGGGATTCTCATGGATGTGGAGGTTTTCAACTCTGTTGTGCCTGCTCAGGATCCCTCCTGCCACCAGCTTCAAAGTGGGATCCTGCAGGCAAGTCCTTGCTCCAGAGGCAGGAATAGGACAGAGTAAAAAGGTAGGGAAATGGGGTTTGTCCATCACAGGTGTGATATTTATGTTTCTCTTCAGGTATTGAAATCACTCCAAGTCCAGCTTCACTGTCTCACTGTTCCATGGAATTAAAATTAAGGTTAAAAACCCAGCAAAAACCTGTGTTATCCAACAGGCTTGTGGATTTTTGAAATTCCGGAAATCTGGGTTGGATTCTCTGTGGTGTTTCTATTTTTTAAATTATTTCATTTCTACCCCAGTGTAGAAGTTGCTGTAAGTAGGAGTAAGTGGAAAACCTTCAGAAACAGTTTTATAAGGAGAATCGAGTGTGATGTTGTTGATGTATAAACGTGTAAAATGTGAAACAACATTCCAGCACTTTCCATTGTGTAAAGACACTTCAAATAAAACAAAGCAGTGCCATTCACACTTGGGATCTGAACTGTGTTCCATGCTGGACAGGGTGGATATTGAGATTTTTAATGGTGATGAACACTGCTGAGTGTTCTCATGGGCAGATGGGATGGGAACTCTGTGCCTCGGAGCTGGGGGGTGGCAGGGACCCACAGGAGGGATTTGGGATCCTTGCAGGGACCACTGGGGGGGAGGAAGGAGCCAAACAGAGGCTTCAAAGCTTTAATGAAGCCATTGATCAATATCAGAAGTGATTCTGCTCCACTCCAGGGTGACAGCCGGCCTTGGCAAACGAAGCTGGAGTTTGCTTTATTCCCTCCACACCATGATTCAGTACCCCCCACCAGAAGCTGTTTCTCTAATCACTGACCTGCTGGGAAGGGCTGTTTTTAGCAGCAAGCTTGCACAGAAGCACCAACTCAGCCCTTTCTGAGCTTGCACTTTGTATAAATAAACACACCAAATTCCTTTAAAATGTTCTCCTTGAGCAGCAGCTGAAACATGTGGTGTTTCTTTGTGTTCTGGAGTTATGGGAGTACCTGGGTTTTGTATTAGCTGAGAACCTGTGATTGCAGCTCCTCATTCTGCCTTGTCACAGAACTGCTTCCCCTGGAAAGATCCTGTGCATAAAATTCCAATTGCTTCATTTATTCCCTAACAGGTCTAATTTCCATTTCTGTCTGGGTTTGAATTAGGGATATTTTTGAGTCCAGAAGAGAAGGATGGTTTGTGAATCTTACTGGGTTTTATTTGCTCCACTCTCAGCGTAAAACTTGCTAGGAGAGATTACTGGTGTGGAAAGAGACCCCAGCCAAGCTTCATCCCCTAGGAGAAAATGCAGAGCAAGATAAAAGATTTCTCCTCCTGTGGGTATTGACCCTGAGATGTGAGTGGGTGTGACACAGGGCTGTCCCTGAGTCACTCACAGTTCCAGGGAGGGTTCACAGGGTCTGACTTTTCCATGAAACAAGAGCAGGGCCTAGAAGGTAGAAAACACTGTATTTTAGATGTTACCTAATGTGTTAAAATCCTGCTCTAAACCAGGTCTCTGTAGTGTAACACTTTGGCATGCTCAGGCTTGTAGAGGGAATGTTTGATTCCCCTGGTGAAGGGAACATATTCCAACCATCAGCAGGACCGGGGTGAGGCAGCAGGAAAGACATTCTGGCAGTCTGGTTTGCTCTTACATAAAACACAAAAATAACCAATTCCTGCCCTCTGTGGCTCTGTGTTGGGATCACAGGAGCAGGGACTAGCAGGGCAGCCAGGCTGAGCTGTACCCTCCTGCTGGGACAGGTCACCTCAGCTCCCTTCATCCCTCCCAGCAGGGTCTGGTAGTTATTTCTGAGGCTGTGGGTGCGTGGAGATCACCGAGGGCCTGATTCCACAATACAGTTCCAAACTCAATCATAATGAATTTTTAGTTGGTCTTGATACCTGCTGTGATATCTGTTCCCTCTTTGTTCTCTCTGAGACACTCCAGGCTCTGCTCTGCCCTGCCAGGTGCAAGCTGCAGATTTACCAGCAGAGCTGGGAGCTGAGCTGGTGTTTCAGGAGGAGTCAAAACCTGCTCCATGGTAAATCTGGTGAAACTCCACACCTTGTAAGGCTGTGTTGCATCCTAGGGGCTGGTAATACTGTAATGAGCCTGGAGTTAATTCAGAGTTATGTTTTGTCCTTTGATGTTCATTGACATCATCAGGATTTTTATGGAGCACCCCAGAGTCTCCTTTGGTCTTCCTTTAATGGGATAAACTCAGGGTTGGTGCCTGCAAACTGGGTCACTGATGTTGGCAGCAGAGCTTTACAGTAACAATGTATAAATGTTTATACATTATACAAATGTATTTATACATTTAACAGTGTATAAACCTGGTGTGTGGCTCTAACTCATAGTAAACAGCTACAAATTTAGGATGTGGTGAGGAACAAACCCTTGGGAAAGTCCCACCCTCCCTCTCTGCTGTCACAGAGGCTTTGGGAACTCACATCTGCTTTTACTTGGGCTGCTCAACGTTCACAGGGGCTGGTGCCTCCCTTCCTGTACTACTTAAATTGAGTTATTAATTATTTTTATTAACTTACATTTATACCTCTTCCCATTTATGGCTGCTGTTGACAGAAGCCCCTTCTGCTCTCCAGAGATACAGCCCAGGGAAGGTTTGTGGCTGGAAAACCACTCCTGTTCCCGGGAGAACCTCATGCTCCTGCTTGTTTATGCAGGATGGGACAATCATTGTAAAGAAACCAATCAAGTGAAATTTATTCCCTTGGAAAGATGATTGGTGAGTAATCCCTGCTGGGATTTCAGTCTGGGGTTTTAAGAAGCTGCATGAGCTTCAGTGGGATTGTGAAGTGGGAAGTGACTAATTTGGGTCTTTGTGGCTGTACAAAACATTTGCTAAATAATTGGATCTGGAAACTGGTTTCTGGTGAAAAAGCCTCTGTGGTTGTGTTCTGTGAGTTCAGTGTAGAAACCAGCCAAAGTGGACACCAAAGTGAAGCACAAGCTGTGTTAGGGGCACAAATGTTTCTGGAGGAGGAAAGGGAGAGCTGCAAGGAAAGGAAGGATCGTTTTTCAGCCCAAATGGACTCTGTGTCCCAAGGAATCCAGTGCAAATGTCTATGGACCATCAGGATCCCCCTGTTGCTGCCTTCCATACAGAGACGGGATTCTGTAAGGAGCAGGTTTTGTTCTGCTTCAGGCTGCATTATAAAGGAGGTGGGTGATGATGAGGTGGCTGCAGCTGGGGCAGCTGAAGTGGAAAATGGGGGGGAAACATCTCCTGCACAGCAGCTCGACAACCCTAAACCACGAATGGAGCCTGAATGAGGGCTGTGGCTTGTTCCTGTGGTTTTCTGGTTTCCTATAGGAGCAGCATCAGGTCCAGGCAGGGGACAGATCCCTTTTTAAAGTGTGATGTCCACAGGAAAAATCCAGACAGGGATTGTGATCACACTTCTCTGCAGGATAAAGCCAACGAAGTACAGGTTAAAATCAAAGATTCCTTTCCAGTTTGATCCTTTTGATTCCACTGACGAGTGGACAAAACCGCTCGTTCTGTCTTTGGGCTGGATGTGCTTGGGATCCTTCTCCCGAAGCGCCAGGAGACCTTTGGGCATCGAAAAGCCACAGAAACCGGGCTGTTTCCAAAGCTTGGGAACTCGCTGTGAGACGTGGGGGCCTATCCAGGCTCCTCCATGCCCCCCCAGCCGCTGCCCAGCGGGGTCGGGGGCACCCGCAGCCGCGCACGGGCCCGGGGAGGCGGCGCCGGGGGTCGGGCCGGGCTGGGCGGCCCCGGGAAGGCACCTGCGGCAGCGGGGCTGTGCCGGGGCTCCGGCCGCACCGGCACCGGGCTCCCCGCGGCAGCAGTGGGGCTGGGCTGCGCCGGGCTCGGCAGCTCCGGGCTGGGGAAGGGGCGGGAGCGGCGGCGGGGGCGGCCCCGGAGCCCCGGCGGGCGGAGGGAGCGGCTGCGGCAGCGCCGGAGCCCCGAGCCCGCAGCATCCTCCGTGAGTAGCGCCGGCTGAGGCTCGGGTGTAGGAGCCGCTCTTGAATGGGGATAATTGTAACAATTAATGTGTGTTTTATCAGCTTTCTGCCCCAAATCTCTGCCACTTTCTTTCCCGAAGCTCTGGCACTTTCTCCTCCAAAGCTCCGCTCCTTTCTGCCCCAAAGCTCCGCTCCTTTCTGCCCCAAAGCTCCGCTCCTTTCTGCCCCAAAGCTCCGCTCCTTTCTGCCCCAAAGCTCCGCTCCTTTCTGCCCCAAAGCTCCGCTCCTTTCTCCTCCAAAGCTCCGCTCCTTTCTGCCCCAAAGCTCCTCTCCTTTCTGCCCCAAAGCTCCTCTCCTTTCTGCCCCAAAGCTCCTCTCCTTTCTGCCCCAAAGCTCCGCTCCTTTCTGCCCCAAAGCTCCGCTCCTTTCTGCCCCAAAGCTCCGCTCCTTTCTGCCCCAAAGCTCCTCTCCTTTCTGCCCCAAAGCTCCGCTCCTTTCTGCCGCCGGCTCCAGCGGTGGTTGCAGCGCGGTTACTCCACGTTTGTGTGCGAGACACTGTGGATGTCTCTCGGGAAACGCGAGTTCTTTATCGGTACCTCTAAACCAGAAAGAAATAGAGAGCAGATGTCCTCGCACGTTCTTCTGTTCAGCTGGTGCTTGATCAGTTGTTCCCTTAAGGGACAGGACTGGGACTGCTCTGGCGCGGTTTCCTTGCCGGAGACAGAGAAGCCTGCGCGGCTGTTGAAAGCTCATTCCATCGCCGGCGGTGTCCTTTCATCACTGGGGACGCTGAAACTCTTGTCCTGACTTATTCAACCCTGGCACTATAAATATGGGTTTGTTGGTGGTTATTTGTTTGTGGTTTTGGGGTTTTTTTGTTGTATACTTTTTTTTTTCCCCCCCAATCTGCTGAGCAGCATGCTGGAAAGAGCTGACAGAGTAATATTTAACAAGAAAAGAACTCGAAAGCTCAGAGCATTGTGTTACAGTTCACTGAGTGTCTCCAGCACAGAGCAAAATTACACTGCTTGCATTATTTGGGAACACACTGAAGCTGCTGACAGGTTTGAATGGTGATTTCTGGTTTTCCCTGGTAATTAATGTATTTAATGCCCCAGGAAGTCCTTGCTAAAGGAAGCGTAGCTTTTTGTAAACAGCTTTCACTGATGGGCTGCATTGTGCCGGGTGGGCAGGAGGGGTTGATTTAATGATTACAAACCAGGAGACAAAGGCAGAGCAGAGACCAGTGACTTCAGAGTCTGATTTCAGAGTTATTGTCCCTCTGTGGGTGCCAGACTGGGGCACTGAGGGCTTACCAAGCGGTTCTGGTGGAGAACAGGCTGCAAGTGTGAGGTGTCAGCTGCTGTGTGTGTCTTCAGGGCTCTGCAGAGGGGAAGGTGCCCCACGGATCCAACAAGTTGGCATAGGCAAGCTCTGACTGCTGAGCTCCAGCATTGTGGTGGTGCTTGGGGTTTTTTTTCCATTTTAATCCATTTTTCCAGGGTTTTAAGTCCAAATCCTGGTTCTGTTGAATATTTCCCAAGTATCTAAGCAAGTCTCCTGATCCCAGTGTTAGATCCTGGCCTGGAACTAGTGGGAAAATACCTCTGGCTTGTTTTCTTCCATATCCTGCACATCCCTGAAGAGTCTGGGGTGGTTTTAGGATCTGAACATGGTGGAGTTCCTGTCATTCCCATGAATAACTGCATTCACAGAGGGGAATGAGAAGTGTGTGTGGCCCAGAATTTTAAGGCAAAACAAAAAAAAGTTAGAACTGGGCAATGTGCAGTTCATGATCTGGTTTAGACACTGCTCCTGGGCAAGTCAGTGACAAAAATCTATCAAGTTCATATTTCCAGGCATGGCTTTAGAAATGAGGGTGTTCCTTTTGGGGGTCCGGTTGTCACTTCTTGTCACCTCCTGTGGGAGCTGAGGGGTTTTGGTGCCTCTCACGATCTAAGCCAGGCAGGTAGAACTACAGAGGGGTTTTTAGTTGGTGCTGCTCCTGCAGTTTGTGCCACTGTCTCTGTCTTGGCAAGGCAATGAACCGCTTTTAATGTGTGTTCTACCAGCAGCTCAACCTGGGCAGTTCATGCCAGAACCTGAGAAAATGCTTATGTAAAGGTGCTGCCCTGACATGGGGACACTCAGGCTCACACAGGGAGGCTTGTTTGCCTCAGGCCACTTTGAACTTCAGCTTTTCTTTCCTCTTTCCTCCCTCTTTGGAGCCTCTCAAGGTAAACCCAGGCACGTTCAGGTCTCACTGAAGGACGCTGTGTTTTTATTACTCTCTGAAATCACAGCTTGTCTCGATCCCTGGCGGTGTTCCCAGGCTGCTGGGAAGGTGAGGGCTGGAACAACCCAGCTCCACACAAACCCCACCTTTTCCCAGGTGAAAGCACTGAATCTGTGTTCTCCTAACCAGCACCTGCCTTCCCTAGCAGGGAGCTGCCTCTCCAAGTCCAGCCATCCTGGAAAAACCACAAACAAACCCCTCTGCTCCCTGTGGCCCCTCTGCTGTAATTGCCAGGTGCTGCTGACAGGTGAGCTCTGATCCCCATCTCCTCACAAACAAACCCAGGGCAGGGGCAGCAGGGAGGCTTTAGAAAAGGGGGCCTTGCTCCCACTTGCCAGAACAACCTATCCCCTGTATCTGCCAAGGTGTTTGAAATGGAAATGTGCCCAAAGCTGAACTTTATGGAAACATTTCCAGCTTCATAATGTGGGGATGCAAAAATAACCAGCAGGGTGGAGAGTGAGGGTGAATGAGAGGCTCTGAGAGCACAGGCAGGTGTGTGTGCACAGGGGGAAGTGCAGCCCTGTGTCATGGACAAAGAATGTCCTGTGATTACTGTATCAAAGTCCACTTCTTCTCCCCTGCTGAATGGCTTTTATCCAGCACTCCTGATTTTCCAAACGTTTTTCTGAACAGAGTAGGATCCAGGCTGAAAATCAGTAGGTTCCCATGGATTTTGCTGGCCTTTGCTGGGTCTTTCTTGCAGCAGAGGCTTGGTCAGGTGTAACCGCTGGTTCACGGGGCAGGAATGGGGCTGGAACTTCAAGTAAGAGCAGGACTGGCACCTTCCATCTTGGCTGGAGACACAGACCTTGGACCTCTAGACTTTCTACACAAAGCAGAAAAAACCCCACCTGATGCATTTTTCAAACTGCACCTCAGATTGGTGCAGCCTGCTGGATAAATTAATCCTTTTCGTAAACAGGAGGTTTCACTACGACAATAAAAATTCTTTGGGTCTGGGTGACTCATGCACAAACAGCTCCCCATTCCCAAGGTGCTTTGACCCAAAGGGAAGGTCAGAAGGATGAATATTTCATGGCTTATTATTAAAATATTCAGCCTTATTTATTTAGAATTTTTATTTTGGTAGCCAGAGGAGGAAAAAAAGGTTTCTGTAGATCTGGCAATTGCACTGGCCTAGTCAGGAGCCACAAGGTGAGATTTGGATGTGGATTTCTCTGAATTATGCCCATAGTCAGAACACTTGCTCAGCTTTTCATGACGAGTCTCTTGAGCCTCTGCTGTCACTGGTAGAACCTTCATCCACATGGGAGGACGGAGGTTCTACCATCCTACACAGAGAGGAGACAGGAACAGCTGTCCCTGAGCTCTGGTGCCTCACAGGTTCCTCTGAGGTGTGTGTGAACCCTGTGCTGGACAATAGGGCTGGGCAGAGTCTAAACATAAAATATTTCAACTGATGCTCATGTTGCTGAATTAACTTGGCTTTGGCTAAACAAAGGAATCATTCACTCATGGGAGAATGACCCAGTTACAGGCTCAGAGCAAAGTTAGTTTGGTTTTTAGATTAAAAGAAGAAAACCAAACTTTTAATTTGAGGGGATTGAAGCGTTTGAAGAATGGCCCTTGCAGTTCTCATCCTGCATCCCAGTCAGACACCAACCACTTCTCTTCTTGCTGCTTCCTGATCCCTCTTATTCCTCACTGACCTGCTCTGCAGGTTTTTAAGTGGTATTAATTTTTATTACCAACTGATTTCCACTGAATTATTTCTGGCTATTTATCTTGTGCTGTGTAAATTTAAAGTTACCATGCCACACAATATCCCAGCGGAGCACCAGAGCCCTGCCTGGTTGTACTGGGCAGCATCTGAAGTGGGAAACTCAGTTCCATATCAAATACTGAAGGATAATTTATTTTTCAAGGGGCAGTTGGAGTGTCTCAGCTCTGGGGCTGGGAGCTGAGCTGTTCCAGAGGGCTCTTTGAACTGGTGCTCACACCCCTCTCGGGCTGAAGGAGCCCTTTAATGGCTCGGGTTTCCAGGGACACTTGGAAAACCCTTATAAAACCAGCAAACATCCCGGCTGCTCTTTCCAGATCCACAGTTTTACCCACCAAAACACTGACATGTTTTCAGCTGTGCCCTTGGAAGTTCACCCACTTCCAATAACAGACCTGAGCTGACACTGGGCTGAACTCACAACCTCCTGCCACAGCCACGTTGCAATATCCCTGTTCAGAGGCTGTTCTAACACTTTTGGAGCTCCAAGTGAAGGGGTTGAATGTTTTTTCTTCTCCATGTTAGATGAATGAAGCTCCCTTAAATTCTATTTTATAATAGAGTTTTTAAACCTTTCTGTGATAAGTTTTTCCCTTCCCTCAAGACACTGCTGAATTCAGGGTGCAAAACCATTCACACTCATTGCTCAGTGATCTGAATCTCAACCAGAGGTGATAATCTAAAATCCCAAAGCTTTTAAAACACATTATTGTGTTCATATCTTATTTTATCCTATTAACACTGACCAGGAGATATTTGGAAGCAAATTGCTCAAGATTGTACCTAAATTTCCTTTGTACCAATTTCCATTCCTTCAGTAGGGCCAGGTTTCCACCACAATGAAAATATGAAGAACCCCAGTTCAGTGAGCCTGCACTTGGCAGGCTCTGAGCCTTTGGTGGGCAGTTGCCTAATTAGCACCATGAAATTTGGGTTAATATTTTAGGAATTCACTCCTTTTTCACCTCTGCAGCTGACTCAAGATGACGACGGCCACGCCACTAACCAATAACACTCAGCTCTCAGTGAATGTGACCACAAAGTCTCAAGAACAAAGTCTCTATCAAAGTAAGGAAAGGAGTGGGGTGGTGGCTCTTTTTGGTTTTAAGTGGACTTTGAACTTATCAAACTTCTAAGATTACAGTGACAACTTTGTAAATATGGCTTTTTTCCCTTCCTGCTTCTCTTCCAGGTTCTGGAGCAATAATTGCTGCCATCGTGGTGGGGGTGATTATTATTTTCACAGTGGTTCTGCTCATCCTGAAAACATACAACAGGTACGTGGCCAAGTCCTGTAGTCACCAAGTCAAAGCAGCATGAACCAAAGTCCCTGCTCTCAGCTAACAGAGCATTTCAGGGCTTGGTGCTGAAAATTTCCAGGAGAATCTAAGCAGAGATTGCAGTGTACTGAATCTCACTCTCAGTGCTCTGTGGCTGGATCATAGGAAGCACAAAGAGCTCCTTGATGGAGGCTGTGTGGTGGGAGCTCTTTTTAAGGGTTCCTGGTGATGCAGGGAAGGTCTGAGTGTGCACCAAGGCTGCCAGAGGGGGAGCTCGATTCACTTCTCAGAGCTCACATATCCTCTGGGAGGACTTTTGGTATCTTTGGGATGAAATCCTGGCTTGGTTTGACTGGGTTGTGTCTTACCAAAACTTACCCTGGGAGAGGAGAGACCACTCTAGGTGCCAGCCCTGGTACCAATTCCCCTTTTACCTTTGCCAGGCGCATGAGAGTGCGGCGGGAGCTGGAACCCAAATCCTCCAAGCTGGCAGTGCCACCTCCTGTGGGGCACAACAGCCACAGCCTGGCCCAGCAGCCCTCGGTGACCTTCATCCCTGTGGACATCCACCTGCAGAGCAGGTAACAGGGAACACTCGCCCTTCCTGCCAGAGAAGAGATGGAATTGTTATCGGCTGTTATTCTCTCTGTAAAATGATGTAAATCCTGGTTTCTTTCTTTGGGAGAAAAAACCCAGAGGTCTGGACACTTTTCTTATGACTGAAATAACAAGTGGAAGTCCAGGAATCATCAGGATGGCAGCGAGGTCTCTTCTGGATCTGGATAAACCAAGAAGAGAAGATGCCCAGGTGTTGTGGAACTTTTGTTTCCTCAGAGACTTTGAACCCTCTCTGTTCTGCTGATAAACAGGAGGAAAAGTCTGGACCAACTCAGGTTGGACCTGAGTTTGTTATGAGTTACATGGAAGAGGTTTGTGGTTTATTTTATATCTGATGGGTAGTACAGGAGGTATTGAAATTGTATTTATCTTTACTCATATTTCATGTTTCTAATGCCACATGTGTACAGGTTGAGGAAAAAAATGTTACTTCTTGTTTACAAGTATTTTTAAACTATTTCTATAAACTCTGTAACTCTCTGTTTCCAAAGGAACTCGGTGTCTGGGGGGTTTTGCTCTCAATTCAGGTTCATGGCTAGAGCTGTGTTAGAATGCTTTGTCTTACACAAAATCTGAGTTCTTTAACTGAAAAAAATAAGCATGGAAATAGAAAACATCAGCTTGGATAAAGCAAGGGAGGCTCTGTGCAGCCCCAATGTGCTGCTCACCCTGCAAGGCTTTGTACTCTGGTGCAGCCCAATTATTTTTAGCAATTTTTTATTCTCGAAACCAACCCAGAGTGAGGTTCTTTTGTGAGGGCTGTGGGTGTGCAGCAGTGGCACAAAGGAATTCCCAGGGACACTCACAGCCCACAGGGTAGGAACACAGAGCAGCATTGTCAGACACTGACTGGCAGATTGTCTGAGATTTTATATTTCATATTTTTTCCAATAAGCTTGGATCTCTTGAGCAGGTCAGTTTAACTAACTGGTAATTTTTATTGTGCAGAAACTAAATTCAATCACTTTGCAATATTCTTTTTTGGCTGAAACTGAAGCATGGTTTGGATTCCAAACCAAATATTGAGACAGCTGTTTGTGAAGTTTATGAATCTCCTTGTAAATATTTCTCTTGTCCTGGTTCTCTACCTTATTTTTTGTGGCAGGGAGTATTGATTTAATAATTCAGAAGGGAAAGCAGATGCACATCTAATTTTTTTCCAAAAAAATATAAAGGGGTTGATTTTCTGTTTCTATCTGGATGTTCTCTGAGCTGTTCCATGGGATCAAAATCAAGATTATTTTAGGAAGGATAAGCCCATCTTACTGTTGTTGATTTTAACATCCCTAGCCAGACCTACTTCTAGAAAATTTTGTTTACTTTCCATTTGCTTAATTTCAAGCCAATGAAGTTCAAAAGCAGAATAAGCAGAACTACTGCAAGCAGTTCCACAGAATTACTATTATTGGCAGCAAACCAGCTGCTGTGACCACACCAGCACTGCTCCAGCTGAAAAATTCAAATACCAGTAAAATTTGCCTCACATTGGCACCTCCTGGAAGGCCCCACAACCCCTCCTGGCAGCAAAACCCAGAGCTCATGCTGAGCAAGCAAAACCACCTTCTCAAGAAACAAAAATCCCTATTCTGTGCCATTTGCTGTGGATTTGAGCTTTCCAGGAACAATCCCACACTCTCCCTGCCCTGTTAACAGCAGCTGCCTCAGGGCTGATCCAACCTGCCCTGATTTGGCCCCCGGGTTCCTCTTCCAAACACACAGATTTTGGGAATGCTCCCCTTTAGCTGGCCCTGTTTTGCAAGAATCAATGGTTGGATTTTTTCCCTCCTAAAAGTTCTACAGGATCCTCAGAAGGTCGGATTCTCCAGCTGGAATTTCACTGTTACAGATACTCTGGTAAAATGTTTTTTTTTTTTGCTGCTGGGTAAGTCCTGACCCCAAAACTGTTTCCCCCCCACGTTTACTTCCATCCTCCTTATCCCAGCAGAGCACGGAGCTCCACCTAGTGTCCTCCTGCCTTCCCATGGGTTCTGTAAAGTAATTCCAGCTTTAGCTGTCAACTTTACTAAACTCCCTCATCCACAATGCCAAGGCTATTGAGCAGCCGAGTCGAGCACTCTCCCAAGTTTGGCTGTGCAAAACTCAGATCGTTACAAGTCTAAGCAGATAAAATACGATATTTTCCCTTGGGTTTTCTCCCTGAGTCCCATAAACAATATATTTCCTAAAAAAATGCATCTGTAACTCAGCCCAGGAGGAGCCACACCAGTTTGTCCTGAGTGGGATGGGGTGGAGAGCTCATGACTTATCCTCAGGACAATAAAGGCGAGGAGGCGCTGGAGGGGCTCCAGTGGAGCCCACAAAGATGGTTTGGGGTCTGGAGCATCGCCTTCATGAGGGGAGACTGCGGGAGCTGGGCCTGATCAGTCTGGAGAAGGGAAAGCTGAGAGGCGATGCCATCAATCCATAAAATATCTCCAAGGGGTGTCAGAGGATGGTGTCAGACTCTGTTCAGGGACACGGCAAGGAGCAATGGCCTTAAAATAAACCAGAAGTTCCACCTCAACATGAGGAAGAACTTCTTTCCATGAGGGTGTGAGAGCCCTGGAACAGCTGCCCAGGGAGGGCCTGGAATCTTCCTCTCCGGAGACATCCCAAACCCACCTGGACCTGTTCCTGTGTCACCTACTCCAGTAGCCTGGGCAGGGGGTTGGACTGGATGATCTCCAGAAGCCCCTCTCAGCCCCAACTCCTCTGGGATTCTGTGACCTCTTCAGAGCCCTGCCTCCCGCCCAGGGCCCGCTGTTATGCCGGGAGGTAGCCGAGGGGCCGCTCCCGAGGATTGAGGCTGTGCCCTCACGGACCTGCCCGGCCCTGTCGCCATCCCTGAGGGGGCCGCGGCCGTGAGGGCAGCTGAGATCTCGCGAGATGTCGACATCGGCAACAGCTTCAGGAGCCAACACCTCGCGAGAGCGCGACTCACACAGCGCTCACCCCCGCGCGCGCCGGAGCAGCCGCGCTCTCTCATTGGCCCGGCTCCCGCGCGCGCGCCGAGCCTCCACCAATCAGCAGACGGCGGAGGGAGACCCTGCACGGCGCGCGCCTGGCCCCGCCCACCCCTTCGCGCCCCTCCCGCCTTCCCTCCCCCCCCCCCCCCCCCGCCTCCCCCCCCCCCCCCCCACCCCCGGCACGGCTGAGGGGGCGCGCGGTGCACGCCGGGACGGCAGCGCGCGCCGCGGCCCGGAGGAGGCGGAGGAGTCAAGATGGACGCCGGGTTCTTCCGCGTAAGTGCCGGCCCGAGGGGCCCTGAGGGCGGGCGGGCGGCGCGGCGGCCCCGCCGGGGCACGGGGGCACCGCTCGGCCCCGCTGCAGGCCCGCGCTGGAGCCGCGCTGGAGCCGCGCTGCCCCGCGCGGCGCCGCCGTGCCCCCCCGCCCCCGCCCTGCGCAGGCTCCTCGCCGCGGAGAAAATGGCGGCGGGAAGAGGCCGCGGCGGCGCGGCCCGGGCGGCGGCGGGGGGGAATCGAGCGTCTCCGGGCAGGACTCGGCACGGGGGGAAGCTCCGCGGTTCCCCCCACCCCGGGGCTGGCCCCGCGACGGGCCCTGAGCGGCCTTGACCCCGGAGGTCCCGACCCACGCGGGGTCGTGTCACCGCTGCGACCCCCGAGCTGCGGGGGGGGAGAAGGGACCGAGGGGCTCTTGAGGAGCGAGCCCGGGTTTGCGCTGTCCGCGTTCTTCGGTGTCCTCGTTCAAAGCGAATAAATACCCCTGTCCTTATTTTTATTGAGCTTTTTTTAGAGGTTATTAAGTGTGTTCTTGGCAAAAAGAAGACAGGATGTATTTTTACGTTGGTATTTTATTTTTAATTCTTAAGTTTCTTCTAGTCTTTCAGCTGTGTTGCATTTTCTGCAGAGACCATGAAACCTACCCAGGGTCTATTTCCTTTCTGCTTTTTCCTCCATTAATTGAAATGACCTTATTTTGAGGATTTCGGTGATAATTTTGAAAACCAATCTAAATTTCAAGGTTCATTCATTTGTTCAGCCCATATTATTTTCATTTCCTGCGGCTAGAATGCTTTTAAAACACGGCAGCACACATAAACCTTCCCTTAGTTCACTTCTGTGCTCGTGAACTAACTTGGGAAAAATAATTGCATATTAAATCCACACTTGCTCTAATGTAGTTGTTAAAAGGTTTACAAATCAGGTAGTTGTGATTGACAGCAGGATTACTGGGGCTGCAAACTCTGGATTAGAAATCAAATATTCTTTTAAACAGGCCTTTGGAAGGTGGCATTTTATAAAAACCGAAGCAGCATGACACTGAAATGGGGCTGTGAACAGTGTTCTGGTTTTATTCTGGGTTCAGGAGGAACCAAATGTGAAATGACAGAACTGCAGCAGAGCAGCAATTTGGACTCCCCATACCAAGCAACCTTCTATTTATAATTCTGTCAGTTCTTCACATTTCTGTGGAGTTTCAGTGCAAACTTATTTTGTCTGTCTTTAAATTCCTGTAGCCCCCTTGCTCTGTCCTGTTTGGTTCCTTTTGCTGCTTGCCACGTGTTATCAACAAGAAACTTCCCCTCCATTTCCCTTCTGGATTGTGAAATAATGTTAAAAAACCCCAAAAGAACATTCAGTTGTTGAGTGAACTGGCAAGTATTGTGGTTTTTTTGTAAGCCTCAGAGCAGTCTGCAAATACTGTAAAGAGTTTTAATCCCTGGAAGTGCCTGTGCCACAGTCAGACTTTAGGATTCCCATGTTTTGGAATAGCAAATGGGAACATCAGTGGATTGTTCACTTTCAGTAACTGATGACTTTGCAATGTGTTATATTGTTAATTCTAGGTGCTTTCTGACCAAAGTCAACTTAGAATTTGGGGGTTTATCTTCTTTATTACCGTTTCATTCCTTGACAGTTTATATTTTTGTTTGTACTGGGCCCTGTTTTTCCACTGAGAATTGCCTATATAAAATTCCCTGTTTTCCATCAGTCACATTGGTTCCTAGAATAAATTTCCCAAGTCGTGGGTTTGTCCTCAGTCATGAGCACCCCACCAGGATCTGGATGCAGCCCTGCATCTCCTCTGATTCCTGCC